ATTTGCACTTCAATTCTAAACAGCCATTAGATAAAATTAATTTAACTAAGGCTTAAAAAACTAGTAAAACATAAAACATATCTACAAAAAACAAAATATAAATTTTAATAAAATAAATTCCTTTTTATTTTTAATGTAAATTTAAAATTCAGTCAAAAAAATTATTATTCTAAAAAGATAAATTATTGCCAAATTTGAATTTTATTATTATTATTTTTTTTTTCCAAAAAATGTTTCGCACGCTTGGCCGCCTTGCATGACCAGCCGCAGTGTCGCTGCTTTTTGTGCCCGCGTCCCAATTTTTTGTCCGTGTAATTAAACATCCACACTTGATTGCTCCACCGCCACCGCCTGCACGACCGAAAATGTAAAAGAAAATTGCTCCGTCGAGAGCAGCGCAAAACAAAAAGAAATGACTTGTACTCTCTAACTGAACCGAGGTGCAATTTCACGTGGAAGTCTTTTATGGCCACGACAGGGGAATTCAAACTGCGCGAAAAATCTTGCGCGAAAGTAAAACGCTCATTTTGCCTGCAAAGTTGTTTCATTTCCAGCAAGATTTATAAACTAGCAGGCACGTCTGCGTGCACGAATCATTGTGAAGACAAAGGCGTTTTAATTGGATTTGAGCGCGCGGTGCTTTTTGCAGAAAGGGCCTCACTTTTTCGTGCATGCGTGCTTCTCCTCCTGTGATTCTTATTAACAATAATATATAAAGAGGAAAACGGTCCATTGTGTAGTCAAAACGGCTGCGTTTGTGCCCAATAAGATACCGATCGATATTTATGAAACTTGTGCGCTGATGTTTGTGCATGGCCTATTGTTTAACCCAAACAAATATTTGCTCATTACTTTGATGAGGATCGAGGATCTGCCAAGCAAGGATATCAATTTAATTCCTTCACTGCCTAAAAACAATCCATTTATGTTTAAATAAACGCGAAATGAATCAGATCAATACCATTTTTTATTTTTTAATTAACCACTTCTATGTAAAGGATTAACAGACGTTATTTGTGCTGCACCAATTATGCTCTAAGATGCGACTTAAATTGAAGCAAAACATGGGATAAATAGACCATAATGGTGTTGCACCAAAGTAGCTCTACGGAAGCTCTATTTTGCACCTAATTTCAGGTATATAATAAAGACCAATTATGTGTCAGCACTATTCGCTTTTATATTGAAAATTTTTAAAAATTAACGACTTCTTTGAGTAGACCTGCAGACTTCGTTTTGCAAAGGTTGGATTAGTAAAATTGAACTTGTTATCACTGATGTGCTGTAATTTAGCTTTCATTTTTCTTCAATCTTCAGATTTACAGATTGTGCTCTTCAATTAAAGCTTTAATATCTCCCGAAAGTTTCAATTTTCATAGAAATATTTTAAATTTGGCTTCCAACACAGTAAAATTTTCTTTATTGTCGCATAAATATCAATCAGAAACTTCTTAATTTAGCTCTGGCGATGAGATTTCATATCATCGATTTTTATTAAATGTATAGAAATATGCCTTCAAAGAAATGTATAAATAGTATTTACTCGTGAAAGGTTTTGCTTTCTTTTGAAGTGGATCCTCTCGACCCCATATGGTCCCCTGGGTCTGCAGCTTTCTGTCCAGTTTCCTAGACTGGGAAGTAGGAGAAAATGCCAAAGTTCGCAATATTCCGCACGACAAATCAAAGGGGCTGCTGGCGCTTTCGGCAGATTCGCCAATAAATTGCATACGTGCGCGGGGCGGTCTGTTTCGAGTCCTGTCGAGAGCATGCCTCTGCGTACAATTTTTTACACACAAGGCGAGTCGGATGATAAAAATCTGCCTCGGACGATGGGTTTTCTCGTCATCTCGGAGAGCGGTCGTCCTTGATGGTCCCTGCTTTCGCACTCTCAATTTTCCGGCACGCATCAGCAGCATCGCTTGCTTTTTATATGGAAATGCTTTCTCGCTCCTTTAGATGCCATAAAATTATATACACATCAGCAGATTTCAAATTATCTTTTATGGACGAGGCAGCCGGCAGTGCCGAAAAACGCTGCGTGCCACAAGCGACCGACACCTCGCGCGCACACATATTATGGTGGCACGCATACAGTTCACACAGGCATGGCACACGTCGTTTCAGAGGCGGCATATCATTTTCCACCGTGGTACCCTTGCCCTTTTGCGCGAATAAATTGCGTCCTGCGTGATTTGCACACTGATTTTCAAAGGCTAACAAGATTGTTTGCTCAAATTTATCAATAAAAACACGATTAAATCAAATCTTTTCCCCAAAATTTTGCAGTTAAATTTTTTGCATAAATTTTATGTAATATAATTTTATATTTATTCAAACAAAGGAGATTTATTTTTATCAAATTGGAAATTGAAACATGTGAAAAAATCATGACATGTATAAAACACGTTTTTTTCTAATTATTTTAAATAACTTTTTATAGATTTTAATACTAAACATTGAGTTTTAATTTGTTTGAAGAAGTTGACACTCGAGGAGATGATCATGGAAATGAAGATTCGGGCTTTCCCATTGAGTTTTAATATTACAAAATTATTTAATAATTAATTAATCGAATAATTTTTTACTCTTTTTGCACAAAAATTGTTAAAAAATAAATAATGTTGGCAGATTAAAGCATCACGTTAAAAATAATAGAGAATTCGGTCGAAATTGGCACGATGAATCTTTATTTTTCGCTTATCAGGAAAGCAAACAAATGGTCAAAACGGCAAAAAGGCGCGAAACGAGCTGGGGTGAGTTGCTGGTGTAAAAACCCTGGTGTCTGCCACTGATAACGAAGTAAAAAAACGCGCCGGGAAGAACCTAGAGAGAGCAGAGAGAAAGCCCGAGAGAGATGATTCTCTTTTTCCTTCTGCCGCCTCTCTTCTCTCTCGCTCGCCTACATACATATCCAGCATGCGGGGGTGCGATAATCTGAATAAGGAGGGTGTGCAAATGGAGAGTCCCAAGGGCGTCTCCGCATCAAAAGATTGAAATGAGACTTATTTGCAGAAGCCGCCGGTCTTGCTCGGAAAAGTTCAAACCTTCTTATATTTCTCGACACGCTAAAGGAGTCGAGCGAGACGCGATTGAAAGCGAGATAACAAGTCTGGAAAATGCTCGCGAGCAAAAGATCCCTGGTGCCGCAGCAGCGTCATTTGCACCCACCCGCATTTCTTTGGCAAACGCGATAATTAATTCACTTGGAGAGTGAGAAATCGAATTTCGTCAAGCAAGTTGGGGGCGCGATGAATCATCACACAGCTTTGAGATTTAATTCTCCCACCGAATTCTAATTTCCCGAGAGGATGGGAAATGAAGAATGGAGGGAAGATTTTCAATTATTATTCATTTATATAAAAGAGAGAAAAATGCAAAGAGAGGCTGAGATCATATTCGTACCCAGAGAAAAAACCATATAATTTAAGAAAATGATGTTTTATATTCGGCTTACTTTGTTACAAATAGGAAAATTCCAGGCCCATATTTTCGAGAATAAAATCTGAGAGTTTTTTTTTTGTGATATTGCATTTTCTCGTTTGATCTCGGCATATATGCATGCAAATATATTCCGTCGAATTGAGTGTTTGTGGAAGAACAAAAAAGGACCTCTGCTTTTTATTTTGCAATATGAAATTCCCCGGCTCGTCTCGAATCACTCTTTCTGCACGTATAGAAGGTTTACAATAAAAGCTCAAGGTACGTTTTACGTTTGAGACGAAAAATACAAGTGAGAGAAAAACTTACATATATTTCCCGGCCGGGCTCTTCCAGGTGCACCCTCGAGCGGTCTAGCTCTCTTGAATTCCATATTGCAAAGCTGCATGTCCCATTTGTATTCAAACCGAAAAACTACCCTCTCTGAGATAACGAAAATTACCCTGCCACCGTATTTTGAATTTATTTTTTCCTATATAGCTTCCGGCTGAAAAATAAAATGCTTATATTTTTCCACTTTCCACTGGGAGCGTGTAAAAAAAATAAAATCATCGTTTTTTTAAGGTCAAGCTTTCAGTTCGCTCCAGGACATTCACGGAATTTCCAAAATCATATAATTTGCTCCAGATAATTCGTCTGGAGTAACATATTTGTTTTCCTGTGTATATTTTTGCTGGTGAAAGTTTTGCCACATTATTCCTTATAATAAGCAAAACATGCGAGACTCGGTAATCTCGGCTAGAAAGGAAAAAAACAGCATTTAAAAAGTTTAAATTGAAATTTGCAATTTCAAGTAAACTGAAGAAAAAGAACAAAACAAGAGAGAAATAATAATGGTTTAATCAGATGAGTGGAAAATATTTTTTACGTCAAAATATTTATGAAGTGCTTGTAAGAATGAGAGAGCGTGGCGAGAAATTCTCATAAATAAACATGTCCTCGTGTTTCTTTTTTTGTGCGCTCGACGGGAGTGTAATTTTTTTTTCGGCTGTTGGTTCATCGGATCAGAAGTTAAGGCGCGAGGGAAAAGGCACCACGCCCAATTTGTTTTAAAGGAAATATCATTTTCGGGGCCCGTGAGTCAAAGTGCGGCGCACAAATCTCAAAATTTATTCAAGGAGAGAAATAAGGCGACGGAATAATAGAATTGCTCTCGTAATTCATCTTCTGTAGCCCACGTCAATATTTAAATCGGAAAGAAAACAAGCTTCGAGAATATTTTTAATAAAATCGCCGGGCTAACTTGTTTCACGCCCAAAATAAATTTTTCTTTTCCTGCTGCTTTTCGGTACGAAGAATTATAAAAGAATTTCCAATTCAATTATGTTCTCTCCAAGAAGAATGTCACGCCAATTTGGAGGAAGTAAATCAAAATTTGGCGACGCCTTATTCGTCTTCCTAATTTACTCTCTTTTGACTCTTTCAGCAAACCTAATTAGCACCGGTGCCAATTAGAGAGCCGGAGAAATAAAGAAACGCTGTCGACTCCAAGCTTTTTTGCAATTAAGGAGGATCAATCGATTTTTGTTAAGATTCAAGCAAATAAAAAAATTCCCTCTTACCTCATAATCGAAATCCAGTTTGGGTCAGTGTAGAAATTCCGTTCGTCGATCCAAAAGCCTCATGAGCAGCTGCAAAAAATACCAATATTCAATTAAAAACACGCTCTAATTATTCACATAAAAAGCAAATGAGCAAAAAAGGTGCAAAAATTGTGACAGCGCAGTGGTTACGTGACACCCATCACAACAAAATAAATTACTTTTCGTTTAATTAACGACCCACACCACCCCTTCATGATGATGAATTGATCAACAACACATACATCCTCGCTAATTAGAATTTATTTATCATCTAGCACGTATTTGACACTGCCAGCTGACAATTTTGTTTAATTTATTTCAGCGCAATTTCGGTATAGGCAATTATTTACGGATGAAAATTATATAAAAAAAAACGATTGCGAATTTTTGTGTGTGACAAATATAAGCGCTGTAATTAGAGTTGATGAGTCCAGTGCTTTTTAAAATCACACTGAGCAGTGTGAAAAGCGGCGAGCATAACAGAGGTGAAACAAAATTAATGCGGACATCCTCTCACGCAAGACTTGAATTCAAAGAGATTAAATAAATTTGACCAAAATTGCGTTATGAGTTCAAAGATGCATTTAACTAAACGTTTCGAGGCAGTTTTTTTTATAAATAATATTTAGAATAATTTTTATTCTTTAGAGTGTAATATGAATAATTAATCGCTTCATTAGTTCGAATTACACGAGAAAAGCGGCTATTATGGATCAATCTCCGGAGCAAAAGTATCCAATTTCAAGAGCATACTTTTTGCCTCAGAAAAGGCAAAAGTGTCTGCGTGAACGTGAGAGGTGGATCAGATTTCCCGACCAATATTTACAGTATATTGCCGCGTGACGTGCTAGACCGCGCTGGCTCGTTTTTCATCCCCGAAAGCAGTCGAGAGATAGATTAAACGACGCGCGCGAATAGGACAAAGCGTCAGGCGGCGGTTTCGAGCACAATGCCTGTGCCTTTTATATTCACTCTCCGGCCGATGACAATGCATGCATGCACCAGGTCGTGCGGGATCCTCTGCCCGATTTTTCACACATGGTCTGCCGCAAAATGAATAAAATGATGATGAATAATATGGACCTCTGACAGCGCAGGGTCGGCCGTGAGCGTGGCTAAAATGAATTAACCTTAATATTGCTCACATTTTCAGAGCTGACGGCTGGATATATTTAAAATTTGAGCATTGCTTGTTGTGTGAATAAATATTTAAATAATACATATAGAACCATTACTGTAAATTACATATTGAAATTTGATTGCAAACGTTGAGTTACAATAATAAAAAATTTAGTTTTTTGTAGTATCAAAAGTAAAATTTAATTTATGAACTAATTCAAAAAAATGAGATAGAATTATTAAAAATAAAAAATGCTTTCATTAATTATTGATAGGACCGCAAAGGACCACATTAGTCAGATGGTCAGGTTGCTCGTTTCCAAAGACCCCGCAAGCCTGATCCCCAATATCTTGCTTGCATCTTTTCTAAAGCAATTTGCAAATAAATAATGTATGCATAAATTTAGTTAATTTATGTATGATTTTTCTTTATAAAAGGTACCGTAACAGTATAGTTTACTTTTGAAACTAAATAAACTTTCATTTTAAACCAAAACAAAGCAACTTTCGTGGAATTGCAAAATAAATTCTTACAAGATCTAGAGGATTTACGAACTGGACGACTCTTTAGGCATTTTCAGGCGGAATTTCGCAATTTCCCGAGAGCTGAAGAGATGCCAGAGTTGGCGTTTTGGCCGCGACCCAAATTTCTCACCCTGCAGCATCTTCATTCTCGTCGCGCGAGAGAAAAATATGCGCCACAAGCAGATCCGCTCGCTCCCTCGATAAATGCGCCGCGCACAACATAAGGTAGAAAATTGAATGGCTGCTGCGGTGCATGTGATGCCCGGCGACACACAAAAGCGGAAAGACGCGCATTGTGCGTGTGCACTCGCAAGTGGTTTGGCACCAATTAAATGCATCTTTCAATATTCCGCTTCAGTTGACATTTCCTCACCGAAATGCCGAGGGACGTTTATTATGCAATGTGCAGGGGTGTTTGGGACACACAAAAAAAAGAAATAGAGAAAGGAGCGGTTTCGGAGCGGGTGGGACAGCTGTCGCAAATAAAAACGCCGACTCGCATCAGCCGTGATGGAAGAATTTTTTCGTGCAGCAATAACCACGCGCGCCAGCACGGCCCGTCCAATTTGGCACGCCCTGTGAACCTGAATGTCCGCTTGCACGTCACCTTTTATCAGCGACAATAATTCTTTATTTCAAAAACGTTTGTCCCCTGCACACGATCGTGCAACCGGTGCATAGATAACAAAAGGTTCACCTTGGTGTCTTTCAAGATATGTGTATTATTGAGTCTTTGCAAATTTTTGTAAATATTCAAATAGATTGATTGTATGTAAGCATTATGGCGTAATTAATTTAATTTAATTTGCCAGATGAAACAGATTTTCTAACTAATTTGAATATTAAACAATTACTTCAATTAGCAATAGTTTAGCAAAATTATGATTCAAATGTAAAAAATAATTAACCTTGCAGGTATGTCTGAAAAATTGTAGGTAACTTAGTCTTTAAGTATTATAATTATGCATCAAAGCTTACAAATATAAAATATAAACTCTGGCTGAATCCGTGTTAAATAATTATTCAATTTTAAATGAGGAGCGTTGCAATCCTCATAAGTGCCGCCTCATAAGTCAAAGAAGATAAAAATAAAAATAATAATAAAATATTACCTTTATTTTGCATGTAAATGTGCCTTAAAAATATAAATAATTATTTAAAAATGGAGATTAAAATATTTTTAACTCATAAAATGTATACAACTAAATTTTATTTACGGCAAAAATTTAACAAATAAATGGTATATGAACCAAAATTTGAATTTGTATAAAACAAGATGAATCAAATTTGTATATAGATTTCAGTCTCACATCCACACAAAAAGAGTCTCATGTCAGACATAATTATTATCACTGGCAACATCTTTTCCTTTTTTTCTCTCTCTGATTGTGAGCATAGAGGGAAAATACATATAATAATGTCAAACGTGGCGCGGTGTCTTGAAAGAGAATTCGCTCAAGTGAACACGACCCTCACCTTACTGGATGTGTATATGGGAGCTCTGGGTATAGGTACACATATCATCGTGCCCCAATAGTTGCCTCGGCCGGCGAATGTAACTGTACATTACGTGTGTGCGCATCATTGTATGCCTGTTCGTCTCTCTCACAATGGATCGCTTTATGTTCGCAGGTATACAGAGGACGGGTCCTCAGTGTGTATGTGTTCGTCCCTGCGTGCACAAATGTGTCTCTTTGTCCTGCGTATATAGCGAGCACACTTTTATTATATCAAATGTGATGTCCCTATGCTGGCATCTCACCAAAAAGAAAAAAAAATGTGAAAAAAGCCGAGAATTGCGAGAAGCAATATTGGAAATTAAAGTAATTGAATTGATTTTGCCATGTAAAATTGAAAAAAAGCAATAAGCCTAATTTTTTATATAAAAATTACAATAGTATAATTGATAATGAATAATAATTTATGATAATAACGTTGCAATAACAACACAAATTACCCAATCAAAAATTAGAGCTTGCCCTCTGCAAGCTCATGAGAGCACATGCCGATAAGACCCCCCCCCCCCCCCCAAAATAAAAATATTATATTATCCTTTATTGACTTATGGTGTGATACTGCGATACAATACTCTGGGCAGGCCACCTATTTGCAATGTAGTTGTGCTGCTTTTATATTTCAAATTTTATGTATAGTCATATTTAATATTTTATCAAATTGAGAATAGTTTAATCATTAATTGTTTAAGTTCACACAAATTTTATCATTTAATTTTGTCTTACCATCTGGCATTATTTTCAAATATGATTTACTTTTTTTGCGTTGTATGAATGGAGAATAAATAAATAAATAATAAATAAATAGATATTGGATAAAATTTGAATTTTTTGTAAAGAGTCAAATACAAATACAAGCAGATTAATAAATCAATTAAAGACTTTATAATAATGAAATAAGAAAATTCAATTTTTTACTGTAAAATACAAATTATTGATTGATTTTATACACAAAATTAAATCTAATTTTAAAAATGATTTTTTTTTTAGATTTCGCTATTTTTTGTTAAAAGGCTTAAAAATTTAATATCAATACAGATTTTCATGATCTATTCTGTTCAAACCCATCAATTCGAGAGGTCCAGCATTATTTTCATTCAACGCGACAACAAAGAAGAAAATTTGTACATGTGCATCCTGGAGTGGGTGTATTTTCCTATATTATTATTTGTTTGATTATTTTGACCAGCGGCACAGGAGGACGGATGAATTCCCGGCGCACTATGCACTTTGACGAAAATTGCAGCTGCCATTTACAAGTGTAATTCCCTGATAATGCAGCTTTGCCTCAATGAAAATGTGCCTGATGTATTTTAAAGCATGTGCTCCAGCACATTTTATTTATTTACACTCCAACAGTTTCACGATAAAAGGATCAGAACCTTTTCAGCGAGCCGCTTTTTCGCTCTTGTGTCAAATCAAGATTATTTTGCCCCAAATCCGATGGATATGACAAAATGGGAAAAAATAGAACGACTGCGGCACTCATTCATTTTTGTATAATAGCATATAGAACAGCTTATCTTGTAAGATATTTTGTCCAAGGAAAATATTATATGAATTTTAAAGAAGGGCTTTTACGTCATTCAGAAATTTTCGGTCCTAAATGATGAATATTCACGCGATGAGCCGCGCGGCAAACGAAGTTTACACTGATTTTCCATGCTGTCGGAATTAAGTTTGCAAATTAAATGGTGGCGAGATTAGCCTTTGCTGGGGATGATAAAGAGCCTGTTTATTTGCATCTCGCCGTCATGAATATAAGTCTGCAGCTTTTTCGCATCTCTATATATCACGACACGCTCGCTCTTTCGCGCGTCTCTCGGCGCGTGCGAAGATGGGGAATTATTTTCTCGTTCCCGTCAAAGAGAATAAGGAAAAGCAGCGAGC